ACATCTCTCTCAAAAATTGTTGTTTATTGATGATTTGGTGTTCGCTATATCTTCTTCCAAGAGTAGACACTATACTTGGAATATATATATATATACACACACACACACAAATATATTCAACTGAAATGATAGCAAATAAGCCAGTATTATAGAAATACAATGTCAGATAAGTGATTTTACCTTGGTGAAAATCTATTTTAAAAGATTTGACTCTAAGATATAAAAATCCATAAATTCTGGACTGACCTGAGAGTTGGGGGAAACTAAGAAAAGTGGGGATAAATAATGGGCACTGCATTGGAACTGATAAAGGAAAGAAAGAACTGTTTAAAAGAAATATACAATTGGGAATTATTTGTATGGTAACAGTCCAGAATTAGAGGTACATAGCCAAGTGGACTGAAGGAGGGAGAGTGAGAGCACTAAATGGTGCAACAACAAATGAGTTTTAATTTTTTTTTTAAAGTGAACTAGGATCAGTAGGGAGGAAAATGTACAAGAATGAATGAAAGAAAATCCAACTTCTCTGTAAACTTTTGTTAAAAGTACAATTTTTAAAATCTGTAAATTTCATTAGATAGGGTGAGGCAGAACTTCAGCTAGCAGGGAGCATTAGAGGAGCTGACCTCAAGTCCCTTAAGTAACCTCCATTGTTTTGTGTAATACCATACAGTCTTTTAAAAGAAAAAAAAAATGAAAAATGAAATCTATGTTCCCTTCATTTACTTTTTGTATTAATAATCATTTAGTGGTGGTGTTCAGAAACTACAATGCTTAAAAAAAAATCTCATCGAGGCTGTGATGCATAGAAGACCATGCGTAAAAGAATGTATGTTGTTGTTGTTGTTGTTGTTGTTATGTGCTATCGAGTCACTTGTGACTCATAGCAACCCTATGTACAAGAGCCCTATACCCTGCTCTATCCGGTGCCAATCTTATTGTCTCTGACACACCTACCCTCATTACCCCAATCGCTGAATCAGTACATCTCATTGAGGGTCTTCCTCTTCTGCACTGTCCCTCCACTGTCCCAAACATGATGTCCCTCTCCAAGGACCAATCCCTCCTTGCAACATGCCCAAAGTATGTCACATGAAACTTTATAATCCTTGTCTCCAGGAGCTTCCAGTTTCACTCTCTCCAGGATTAATCTATTCTCTCCTAACAGTCCATGGTATATTCAACACTCTTCTTCAACACCACAGCTCAAAGGCATCAATTCTCTATCATCCCTAGTCACTGATCAGCTCTCTGACGCATAGCATGAAACTGCGAAGTTTACGGCCTGGATCAGTGACACATTTACTATGTTGTTAAGTTCCATAAAGTCAACATTCAATATAAGCTATATAATAATGGCATACTTATTTTTCTCCTGGTGGTGTAGTGGACTAAGAATTGAACTGCTAGCTAAAAACTCAGTGATTCAAATTCACCAATCATTCTATAGGAGAAATAGGACGCAGCCTGCTCTTGTCAGCTTTTTCAGCCTTGGAAAGACTAATGGGACAGTTCTGCTCTGGTCTTTCGGGGTCACAGTCAATTGGAAGTGACTCACACAGTGAATATGTTAGCAAGAATAATTATGTAAATAAGTTAAAAGCCAAATCTCTAAAAGAATGTTCATTTTAACATTAAAAACTGAAAAGGAGTTCTATTTTCAACATTAGGTATTCAACTGTAGAAAAGTGTGCCTTCTAAAATGTCCAGATAATACATAATGTGAGACAGAATAATTTTTAAAAGTTGAATCAAATTCATTCATTGCGAAGTTAGTTTTATCCAAATATTTATAGACTTTGACGAAATAGAAAATTAATTTACATCATAAGGACACTTATTTTTTTTAAATAAAATTTTTATTATATACTTGTTGTCTACAACTCAAAGGCACTTAACAGTAACAACAACAACAGCATAGAGAGAGCCCTGTTGGCCTGGTGGATAGAAAGTGATGCTATCAAGCGAAAGGTGGGTGATTTTAATCTGTGGCTCTCAGGCCTGGTTTTAATTGGCTTTGGTCAAACATTCTTCTAAGTGACATATCACTGGTCTGTCCATTTGCTGTACAGAGGTAACTTGTAGTTGCTGTAATGCTAAACATTGTGACATCAATGTGTCAAATATAATAACGGTTACCCACGGTGGACAGTGTTTAGTGAAGATCCCCGATTAAAACAAGCTTGAAAGCAGGAGTGGCACCCACTTTCAAAATGGCTTGCCTCTGGAAACTATGAATGTGGAGAGACGACGAATGTTATACAAGTGTTCAGGTCTTTCTTTCATATGGTTGCTGTGAGTTGTCTATGACCCAATAGCACTTAACAACAGCTGGTTTACTTAAGAAGTTTATCTTTTGCTTTTCAAAGAGAGGAGTGAACTGGGGGGAGGGGAGTAAAGAAAAAAGTTCAACAGTGAATCAATGAAAATCCACTCTCTGTAAATGTTCATTAAAATTAATAAAATAAAAAATTTTTTTAAAGCCCACATACATTGTTTTTCACACCAGGTATTTCCCATTTTCTTCACCAACCCCTCCCCTCCACCTATCAAATTGTGTGACCCTATGACCACCCCCTGTTCATCCTCCCCACTCTGCTACCACCCTTCCCCCCCTTGGATTGTCATACATATTCTGCAGTAATGGTTTTATACAGTTCTTTGTCCTTTTTTTATGTTGACTTGTGTTTTATTGACTAAGTAAATTCATTTGACTGTGTGAGTGATAACAAATGATAGTTAACTTTGAGAAGAATTGGAATTCCAGAAGACTTAATTGTACGTATGTGAAACTGTACATAGACCAAGAAACTGTTGTCCAAACATAACAAGGAAACCCTGCATGGTTTAAAAACCAGGAAGATATGCTTCAGGGTTATATCTTTTCTTCATACCTGTTCAGTCTGTATGCTGAGAAAATCTTCTGAGAAACTGAACTATATGAAGAAAAATGTGGCATTAGGATTGAAGGAAAACTCACCAACAACTTGCATTCTGCAGATGACACAACCTTGTTTGCACTAGGCCACCAGTTATTGTTGTTGTTAGGTGCCACCAAGTGGAGCACCTTGTAAACAACATAGTGACCCTATGAAAAAACAGACCCAAACCCTGTCCTGTCGTGTGCCATCCTCCTCATCTCCAACACACTTGAGCGCGTTGCTGCAGTGATGGTGTCACTTTACTCAATGAGGCTCTTCCTCTCTTTCATTGTCCATCAGTAGTCAGGCCACATGTGGTAATGACCAGCAAATGATTGCATTTTAATTGTTTAATAAATAGCCAGGTGTTCATGAGAAAGGAAGATGGCAAGGTTTGTCTCACGCATGTTAGCGATGTCAGTCCCTGAAGAAAGCTGTCATGTTTGGTACCGTAGAGGGTCAGAGGAAAAGAAGAAAGCCCTCAGTGAGCTGAGTTAACACAGGGGCTGCAACAGTGGGCTCGAGCCCACTGGGAATTGTGAGGATGGGACCGAACTAGGCAGCATTTTTGTTCTGTTGCTGAAAGGAGTCAGAACCAACCTATCAGCACTTAAAAACTGCAGCAAGGCACTGAAGGAAACCTGGTTTCAGTTTGTTCCTACAAAAATGTTATATAATGAGAAAGACTGGTGAAAATAGTGGTTCTGGTATTAAATTGATGGAATGTTGATCAGGAAATTAAAATTATGAAGAAAAAGACAACTTGAAAAGATGAGCAACATCTTTCCAGTAGAAGCAGATGCTGAATTCTCTTAGTAACTATTAAAAAAAATAAACAACGCACTGATTTTTTTTATATTGATCTTATATCCTGCCACTCTGCTACATTGATCTACTAGCTCTAACAGGTTTTTTGTTGAGTCTTTGATATTTTCTGTGTACACTATCATATCAGCTGTGTATAGCAATAGCTTAACCATCTCTTTGCTGATCTGGATGCTTTTTATTTTCTTCTCTTGTTGTATTGCCCTAGGAAGCACTTCCAATACAATATTGAATTGAAGTGGTGACAGTGGGCATCCTTGTCAGGTCCCTGTTCACAAGGAAAATGCTTTTATTATTTCTCCATTGAAAATTATATTATTGGCTCTTGGTTTTGCATATATACTTTTCATTATGTTGAGGAAATTCCCTTCTGTTCCAATTTTGTTGAGGGTCTTTATGAGGAAGGAGTGTTGGATTTTGTTAAATGCCTTTTCTGTATCAATTGCTAAGATCATATGGTTCTTGTTATTTGCTTTGTTAATATGGTGAATTACATTGATTATCTTATGTTGAACCACGCTTGCATGCCTGTCATGAATCCCACTTGGTAATGGTGAGTTATTTTTTTTATGTGCTTTTGGATTCTATTGGCTAGGATTTTGTTGAGGATTTATATTCGTGGGAGATATTGATCTGTAGTTTTCTTTCATGGTAGTATCTTTGCCTGGTTTTGATATTATTGTTATGCTTCCTTCATAGAATGACTCTGAGAGTGTTCCTCCTTTTTCTATTTTTTTAAATAGTTTCAGTACGATTGGTTATGATAGATCCTCTCTGAATATTTGGTAGAATTCAGCTGTGAAGCCATGTGATCCAGGACTTTTCTTATGAGGAAGACTTTTTATGACCTCTTCCATTTCTTCTTTTGTGATGAGTCTGTTCAGGTGTTCTATATCTGTCCTTGTCAGTCTGGATAGAGCATGAGTTTCATGGAATTTGTCCTTGCCCTCTAGGTTCTCATATGTATCAGACTATAGCTTTTCATAATATTCTAATATTATAAATTTAACTTCATCCGGTTCTGTTGTGGTGTCACCTCTATTATTTCTTAATTATCTATGTCTTCCTTTTTTCTTATATTAAGTTTGTCAGTTGTTTGTCAATTCTGTTGACTTTTGAAAAAGAAGCTCCTGGTCTTATTGGATAGTACAATTGTGTTCTATTTTCTATCTCATTGATTTCAACTCTTAAAGGACATTTAATTTTATTTGTGTTAATGAACTTTTGGGGTTTTTTTCTTTTTCTTTTTTTCAGATGGAGATGGACACACAGATCACTTACTGCCAGGCTGTGAGGATAAAAACTGCCAGAAAAGCGCCATCTACTTAGCCAAATCAGGAACAAGGGAGGTATATATATCTATATATAAAGCATATTTACATTTCATTTGGGTTTATTTTTCTCCAGATAATATTATCACATATTTAGTACCTTTCCTTTTCCAGATCTGTAGAAGAACTTCATATATATCCGATAGTCTTTCATTTTAATTCACATGAAACAAATTTTCAAAAATCTTTGCAAAGCTAAATTATTATTTCATGCTTGAATTATCAGAATATTTTACAAAGTTGTCTTCTGACTTTTGAAGACCAGCATTGTATTCTGCTTGATGTAACAAAATAACAAATCCAGCTTCTACATATTTTACAATCCCAATTTAAGGGAATAAACATATCTAATTCTTTTGTATCTAAGGTTTATGGTGACCCTTTATTAAACAGATTAACTTCAATGAATATTTAGACTTCTTTTCCCCAGTAAGGAAAAATTAAAGTCTGATTTTTTTTTTCAAAGATTTCTACAGATACAGAACCATGACCAATTTCCAAAATGTAAATGAGGTGTAATTCAATCTACAAGTTTGATGATTAAGAAATATATTGTGAAACAAAAAACCCATACAACTTCATTCTCATAGCTAAAAAAGTAAATTAAAGATAAATGTGGTAATAAAATAGGATATATCCATAAAATTCCTTTCTAAAATAAGACCCTAATAAGAGGATCTTATTTTTTTTGGTTATTATTGTTTTCATTTACTTCTTTCTTTTTAAAAAAAAATTTTAATCTTATTTGATTATTTTTATGTGTGTACGGTCAAATCAGATCTGACTGGTACAGGAAGAGATTACCTCTCCTTCTCCAGAAGGGCATCTGGTGGATCATTTACTTCTTTCTTATGAAATTGAGTAGTGGAGGCTATTCTGTCAAGTTCACATTTTGTGTTCATAGGTAAAAATCAACATCAATTTCATACTCAGAATTCAATGATTACTTAAACCCCAATCCCTCACATTTCCTGACACCAGCCACTCACTCTCACAGTATTTTTTCTCCCTGACTCTCGCATTCAGCACTATGAATTGAGCTCTAAGCACAGTTATAGCTCAAAAGAAGCTGGAATCCATGAAAAAGAATAAGCAATCAGGGAAGACTCAGGGACAGCCTGTGTATGATACAGCCTTGCTTGCAGGAGATTAAGAAGACTTGAAATACTTAGTGATGAAACTCAGAGACCAAAAGTTAGGGGTTCAGTATGGGTTCTACCTCAACATCAAGAAAACGAAATTTCTTATAGCATCGTAGGAAACAGAAAACATTGACATTGTCATTTATTTCATTTTATTTGGACCCACCATCAAGATGTATTAATGATAACTGGTGGCTGGATTGCAAAAGTTGGCAACAATGAAGAAGGAAGAATAGTAGCAAGTATGCACTCTATGCAGATTATAAGATAGTATACTTAGAAAACCCTAAAGACTCAGCAGGAAAACTGTTGTACACAATGGACCAATTCAGCAAAGTAGCAAGATACAAGATCAACATACAAAAATCAGTTGGATTTCTCTACAGTGACAAAGAGAATACAGAGCCGGAACTAAGAAAAACAATACCATTCACAATAGCTAATCACAAGATTAAATACTTGGGAGTAAATTTATCCAGAAGCACAAAGATCTATTCAAAGAAAATTACAAAACATTACTACAAGAAACAAAAAGAGACCTGAAGAAGTGGAAGAATATCCCTTGCTCATGGATAGGAAGACTCAATATTGTGAAAATGGCAATACTACCACTGGCAATTTACACATTTAGTGTAATCCCAATACAAATGCCAATCCCATTCTTCAAAGAGATGGAAAAGGCAATCTCCAGTTTCATTTAGAATGGAAAGAAGCCCCGAATAAGCAAAGCACTCCTTAAAAATAGAAGAAAGGTAGGAGGTATCTCACTCCCTGATTTCAAATTCTACTACACTGCTGTGATGGTTTTAGACAGAATGATCGAATTTTTTACATTGAGTGATTTATTTTTTACAAATACCTTTTTATAAGAAACACCAATGGAGACTTTACACATGGATCTCACCAGATGGACAGCATGGGATTCAGATTTACTAAATGTGTGGAAGGAATCATTGGAGAAGCTCAATATCAACAGTCAAAATCAGGCCAAGTACCCATTGTGAATCAGACCATCAGTTACTCATGTGTAAGTTCAAATTGAGGCAGAAGAAAATTAGAACAAGTCCTTGAGAAACAAAATACGATCTTGAGTTGATCCCACGTGAATTTATAAATCATCTGAAGAATAGGTTTGAAGCATTGAACACCAGTGACCTAACATAAGATTAATTGTGGGATGACATCAAGGATATCTTTCATGAAGAGAGCAAAAGGTCACTACAAAGAGGGTAAAGAAAAGACCAGAATGGATGTAGGAGAAACCCTAAAAATTGCACTAGAGTGTCCAGAAGCCAAAGCAAAGGGAAGAGATGTTGAAGTCAAAGAGCTGAACAGAAGATTTCAAAGGGCAGCTTGAGAAGACAAAGCAAACTATAATAGAATATGCATTGATCTATAATAGGAGAATAAAAACATAAAAACTCTCTTAGCATTTCTCAAGCTGAAAAACCTCAAAAACAAATATAAGCCTTAAATTGCGATCCTGAGAGATGCTATGGGCAAAATCTTGAATGATCAAGGAGGTTTCAAAAAAAGATGGAGGGAATACACAGAATCACTGTACCAAAAAGAACTGACCAACACTAAACTATTTCAGGAAATACCATATAGGATCAAGAGCCAGTGGTTTGGAAGGAGGAAGTTCAAACTACATTGAAGATGTTGGCACAAAATAAGGCCCTAGGAATTGATGGGATACCAAGTGACATGTTTCAAATGGCAGATGCAGCCCTGAATGTGATCACCAGCGTATGCCAGGAAATTTGGAGGCTAGATGCCTGGCTGGCTGACTGGAAGAGATCCATATTTCTTCCCATTTGCAAGAAATGTAATCCAACAGAATGTGTACATCAATATCATTAATACCACATATAAGCAAAATACTGTTAAAGATCAATTCAAAGCCATCTAGAACAGTACATACATAGTGAATTGCCAGAAGTGCAAGCTGGATTCTGAAGAGGTCATGGTACCAGAGATATTATTGCCAATGTCATATGGATCCTGAGAATACCAGCAGAATTTGTACTTTATTGGCTATTAAAGGCATGTGACTGTGTGTTCTGTGGTAAGTTATGAGTAACTTTGAGACTGGCCCATTTCAACAAATGTGACAAACTGCTCATGCAAAACCTATACCTACACCAGGAGGCTATTGTACAAAAGAGCAAGAAAACACTACCTGTTTTAAAAATAAGAAGGGAGTGTGTCAGTGTTATATTCTCTCTCCATACCTATTCAGTCTGTTAGCAGAGCAAATTCAAGAAACTACTATATGAAGAGGAATGTGGTATCAAGAACAGAGGAAGACTCATCAATAACCTGCATTATGCAGATGACACAACCTCGCTTGCTGAAAGTGAGGAAGACCTGAAGTACTTGTTTCAGAAGATTAAAAAAAAAATACACCCTTCAATATGGACTACATCTCAATGGCAAGAAAGCAAAGATTCTTACCATTTGACTGATAAGTAGCATCATGATAAATGGAGAAAAGCTCAAAACTGTCAATAACTTCATCTTATTTGGATCCACAGTTAACACCCTTGGTACCAGTAGTCAGGAAATCGGGAGACATATTGCACTGGAAAATCTGCAGTCAAAGACCTCTCCCAATTATTGAGAAATAATAATGCCAGTTTGAGGACCAAGTATGTCTGATTCAGGCCATGGTGTTTCTGATCACTTGCTATACATCTGAGATCTAGACCAATAAGGATGACAGAAGAAGTAACAATGCCTTTGAGCTGTGATGTTAGAGAAGAGAAATAAACATCCTGTGGACTGCCAAAAGAACAAACAAAAATGTCTTGGAGAGGGTGCAGCCAGAGTTCTTTGGAGGCAAGGATGAGGAGGCTTTGTCTCACATACTTTGAGTAATTTGCTAAGAGGGCTATTTCTTGAAGAGGAACATGACGCTTCGAAAGGCAGAGGGTCGGCAAAGGAAAAGAAGATCCTTGATCATGTGAGCTGACACAGTTACTGCCACTATGAGGTCTAATGTGTCAGGAAGTGTGAGGATGATACAGGATACAGCAGGGCTCAAGTCTGTTGTTCATTGAGTCACTATGGTTGTACTCGACAGCATCTAACCACGGCAACAACACTGAGAACAATGAGAATCCCAGAACACTTAATAGTACTCATGCAAAACCTATACCTAGGCTAAGAATCTGTAGTGCGAATAGAGCAAGAGAACACTATATTGTTTAAAATTAAGAAAGGTTTGTGTCAGGATTATATCCTTTTCCCATACCTATTCAGTCTGTATGCTGAGCACATAACTGGAAGCTGGGCTCTGAAGAATGTGTCATCAGAATTGGAGGAAGATTTATCATTAACTTTTGGTATGCAGATGACACAACCTTCGTTGTTGAAAGTGAAGAGGACTTGAAATATTTGCTGCAGAAGATCAAACACTGCCACCTTCAATATGGATTGCATCTCAACATCAAGAAAGGAAAAGAAAAAAATATATTCTCACCACTGGACCAATAGGTAATATCATGACAGAAGGGGAAAGGATTGAAACGATCAATTACTTCATCTTACTTTCACCCAAAATCAGAACACTTGGCACCAGTAGTCAGGAGATCAGGAGACAAATAGCACTGGGAAGGTCTGCAGTCATGGACCTCTCCAAACTGCTGAGGAGCAATCGTGTTACCTTGAGGACTATGGTGTACCTGATTCAGGCCATGGTCTTTTTGGTCACTTGCTATGCATCAGATGACAGAAGAAAAGTTGATTCCTTGAGTTGTGGTGTTGGTGGAGAGTACTGAATATCCCATGGACTGTCAAAAGAACAAACAGGTATGTCAGAGAAGGTCAAGCCAGATTGTACCTTCAAAGCGAGGATGGTGAAGCCACATCTTTTGGGCATATTGCTAAGAGAGGCCACTCATTGAGGAAGGACGTCATGCTTAGAAAGGTGGAGGGAGGGTGAAAGAAACAAAGACTCTCAGCGAGGTGAATTCACACAGTGACTTCAGCAGTGGACTTCCGTGTGTCAGAGATTATGGTGTTGGCACAGGATTAGACAGGATTCATTTCTGCTGTTTATAGGGTTGTGATGAATCATATTCAACACAACAGCCCCTAACAACATAACAACATCAATGCTCACGGAATCAGTAGTGGAAAAGTCAGATGGTACATTGGAGTTTAAAGATCTGCTCCAATGAACCATTTTTAAAGTGCTTGAGAACTCTGGTGGCCTACTGGGGAAAAAGTTGCACTACCAACCCAAAGATAGGCAGTTCAAATCCACCATTGTGAAAGAAGATCTACAATTTACAGCCTCAGAAAACCCACAGGAGGATCAGCTATGTTTAGGTTCGAACTTAATAGCACGTAACAGCAACAAAGAGCAAGGATGTGACTGAATGGAAGGCACACTTGACTTAAACCATGATATTTTTAACTGCCTCATACATATGTGAATGTTGAACAGTGACTAAAGAAGACCAAAGAAGAAATCCATGACCTTTGAATTATAGTATTAGTCAAGAATATTGAATATAGCATGGACTGTCAAAAGAACAAACAAATCTTGAAAGAAGTAGAGGTAGAATGCTTCTTAGAAACTGGAATGCTCAAACTACGCACCTCATTCTTTGGCCATGTTACCATGAAAGGCATTCCTTAAAGAAAGCCAGCTTGGTATAGTATCATTGAAAAATGGAAGACATTTAACAAAACAGATTGACTTCGTGGCTGTAACAGTGATCTCAGCATAGCAACAACTGTCAAAATGCACGAGACTGGCCAGTGCTTTGTTGTACACAGGGAAGGTCGTTATGAATCATAACCAACTTGAGGACATCTAAGAATGACAATTTTCTTCTTAAATTTGACAGACAAAAGAACACCACAATTAGATGATGTTACAGTGTCCTTTAGTTTTTTAAAGAATTCATTTGAGGCTACATTTCCACTCAGCACAAATTTGAAAACAAGCAATTCACCTCAATGGCCATTAACATCAGTTCAATGTTAAGATTTTGTGATTCTGTGGGAAGAAAAAGCATCTAAAGGTCTGTATGCTATTTCAAGGAGAGATGACGAATGACAAATTACAAAGGAAGCTCCTTTTTCACCCAGAGCATCAGTTAGCTTGCTATTTTCCAAAGTTTAATACATACCTTACAATATTATAGAAATAAAGTAGTTAAATCAAAGGCTGCTTACACTTGCAACTCTATATAAAAAGACATTTAAAACAACTCTTTATGCAGTTGGTCATTTGTTTTGCAAGTGTGGGGTTTTTTTCCCTAAAATTGACATTAAAATCTAATCTTTTTTCTTTTTAAGCCAAAGTGGATTCCAGTGCTACAGAATTTCAGCAATAAAGGCACACAATGGGGCTTTGTCCCATTTGTAAATGAAGAGAAACCAACTGATATACCAATTCCAATTACCCTTCATATCGGAGACTACAATATGGATGGCTACCCAGATGCTCTTGCTATACTGAAGAATACTTCTGGAAGGTATGGTCATTAATCAAGTGAGAAATATTAGTAAAGTATCTTCACACTGGGTCTGTGGATTGTACTGCAAGTTAAGCATTTGACCACTGGCCAGCAGGTTTGTAGTTAAAACCTACACAGAGATACTTGTTATGAAATAGCACCTAAATGTATCTCAGTCCCTTAACCAAGGAAAAGTATGCTCTCAGTACTCGTTCTTTACCTGGTACCTGATGTTCTCCCAGCTGCTTAAAGTATTGGTTCTTTTAGTCACATGGCCTAGCATACGATCCAGTTACATTTGGAAAGTATAAAACCAGGGTGGTTAAAGCCTCAGTCCTTTAGGTTGAGATGGCCTCGGTTTCAGCCTCAAGGCAGCCACTTCCCAACTGTGTGACCGTGGTCGGATTACCTAAACTGTCTAGAAAGTAAGAGCAATATCTGTGCCTTTTTCATGGATTTGTCATGGAGTAAAACCAAAGGAAGTAGTTAATAAGTTACATAAGCTTATACATGTTTTATAATGACACAGAAAATTCCAGCACAACTCTTTCCCAAATTTATATTCTTTGTATATGTAAAATATAAATGCATTTCTTCTTCTTCAGATTTAGTAAAGGTGCCAGTAGATAAGCCAATATTCTTAAATTTACAGTTTGACTCTTAAGAAATTCCATAAAATGTCTATTTACAAATTCTATTGGCTTTTCCTTTTGTTCCTTTTATGATTAGATATTTATCTTGATCTTTATTCAGTCTTAACTCCTACATAATTTCTCTGTCAGTAGTTTGTCTTCTGAGGAGTAATTTATTTGTTGACTCTGTGATTAGTAATGATTTAGCTGCACATTCACTTCCAGGTTCTTGATGAAATACAACTTCTCATAGAGGGAAAAAAAACCTAGGTCATTTCTTGTTTTTCACACCAAACAATAGACACCTAGAAATCTGAATTTTTAAGAAACATGTATTACTAATATACTTCCCTAAAAAAAATTGTAGAAAATTGTATAGAGTCTGTCCTTAAGCTTTTCTGAAGACCCTGATTTGAATTACAACTGCTCTGAGTTATGGTTACAGAATTTCCTAGGGATATTTGTTATCATACATTGTTTGTAGATCAAATCAGATGTAAATAAGACAAATTTCTAAAATGAAACATATTCCTTATACCTTTTAAAGGTTACAAGAAAATCTCCTCCATTGTTATTTAAGACCTCTGTAAACCTATTGGAAGATCAGCTATGAGACAGTTCCAACTCACTCCAGGGGAGAAAGATAAGACACTTTGCTTCCATAAAGATTTAGAGTCAATTAAAACCCTAGGGGGGCAGTTTACTGTGTCCTGTAGCGTCACTGAGTCAGAATCAATTCAGTGGCCTTGAGTTAGGCTGGTTAGCTTAAATACAACACATAGTTTAACATTAATTACAGAAGAGTAGTGAATAATATGCATTCATTTGTTGCTCTTTCCAAGCAAGATAGGTCGATAAATGATATACAAATTACAACAAACATTTTGTGTATAATTGATGAGTACGTCACTAACTGTGTCTGCATAAAATTTTAATCTGATAAGGTAAACCTTTTTACCCATTGGATCATCAGCATATATCAGCTAACTTTTATATTTGTATTTGTATTAGGGGATGCTAGGAAAAGAGAATGGTATCCTATAATAATATGCTTCAATCCATTTCACTTTATATTAGTCTATTTTCTTATTATAACAGAAGTCCCAGAGTTTTGTAGCTTCTAAAGATTAATAACTGTCTTTATCAAATGTGTAGTAAAATGGAAGACTTCACACTTTCATTTGTGCAGTTCTTACCACCATATGAATCAGATGAATGGTAGTAGAAACTGACAATATGAATCTATTTCCTGGATGACAGAATAGAAATTACCTTTCCTTAATCCATAAAGAAGATAGGACTTGAATTCAAATCTCTCTGGCATGTGTCCACTTAAAGTCAGATACATAAATAAATTGAAAATGAAAACACCAGGAAATTTCTTTTTTAAAAAATTACAGAACAAATTTACTCTTGTCAGAATTTAGATTAGGGTATATTATGAAGCACAAATTCTACTTGTTCTACTCTATCATATCTCCTATAAATAAAATTAAAAGATCTTTTTCCTAAATTCACTTTACCTCATCCCCCCACATACACCCTTCCATCAAGTCCAGTTCAACTCAAAGGAAGAGTCCATCGGGTTCCCAAAGCTATAAGTCATCATGAAAAGAAGCCGTCCATCCTTCTGCCATAAAGTCAATGGCAGGTTCCAACTACCAGCCAACCTTTTGATTTGTATCCCAGCACATTGCACACTGAGCCGTACAGAATTCCACTGTTGCATACTATGCAACTTAACATAAAACATGTGTAAATCAGCAGTGGATAAAATCTAAAGAAAACATTTAGGAAGTATGTCATTTTCTAGAGATGTGAAGCTTACTTCAGACACTAAGAGTAATCTTAGTGTTTTCCCCATCTCCAGTATGTACATGTGCCAAATGTAGAGGAGGTAGTAAGACACCATGGCGCTGTGCAATGTAAATTCTGTTTAATGTTAAAAAACTTGCCTTTAAATCCTGACTTTGGGTCAGAAATTTCCTTATCAATGAAATACAATGAGACATTTAGAAATAGAGTAATATAACAGGAAACAACTCCAAACATTTTTTTAATTTGGACTTTAACTTTTTTTTTCTTTTTACTAACAGTTTTTGCCCTCACATGGCAAATATTTACAGAGTTTGTATTTGCAACATTTGGAGACTACAGTGTGACGATCTTGGGCATGTTGTTGTTGTTGTTATGTGCCATCGAGTCGCCTGCTACTCATAGTGACCCTATGTACAACAGCCCTAAACTCCGCTCTGTCCTGTGCCAATCACACTGTCTCTGACACTCCCATCCCAATTATCCCAGTCACTGAATCAATCCACCTCATAGAGGGCCTTCCTCTCCTGCGCTGTCCCTCTACCCTCCCAAGCATGATGTCCCTCTCTAAGGACCGGTCTCTCCTCACAACATGTCCAAAGTATGTTAGACGGAGCCTCAGAATCCTTGCCTCCAAGGAGCCACCCGGTTTAACCCTTTCCAGGACAAATCTGTTTGTTTTCCTAGCAGTCCATGGTATTCTCAATACTCTTCTCCAGCACCACAGCTTAAAGGCATCAATTCTCCTTCTATCCTCCTTGGTCATTGTCCAACTCTCTGATGCATAACAGGTGATTGCGAAGACCATGGCCTGTATCAGACGCACCTTAGTCTCCAGAGAGACACCATTGCTCTTCAGCACTTTGGAGAGGTCCCTAACAGCAGACTTTCCCATGGCAATGCGCCTTTTAATTTCCTGGCTGCTGGGCATATCTTCTTTAAATGTACTTAATGTTAACATTTAAAAATAGAAATAAAACCAAAGGAGAAATACATAATTAAACAATACGTCTATTCCCTAGTAAAACCTTATCATCTGTGGAGGGCTGGGAGAGAAGTTTATGATTTGTTTTAGAAGATAAAAATCTTAATTTATCCATCCATGTTTATATTAAAACCTCTTTAGACTAATGCTTTGTTAACAGAAAATAATTAATACAAATTCCTGGAAGGCAAGAATTAAGGAACTAGAAAAATTACCTTTTTATTGTACCAGAGATTTTTGTTTGTTTGTTGTATTTAGATTTTTGTTTCATTTCACATTTACATAGCAGAACATAATTAGGAAACTGTTATTGTTGTTGTTAAAATCACTTAGGGAAACTAAACAAAGTCCCAGTCACATGATTGTCTGTGTCCTCTGCATCAGGCATTCACGTGAAAACATATACTGAAGCGAGGTAATAAGCATCAGGGAATACTGTGATTTGGTAATAACAAAATTAGCTGGGTTTAACCAACCAATAAAATCCAACCTTTAACAGAAATCTTTCTATACTTTATTAGGATTATGTACCTGTCAAAGATGAGCTGTTCATGCTTTGTTAAATCAGTCATACCCTCTGTTCTTATCATTTCTCATTTTTCAGGAATATAAAATATTTATAAAAAAACTGTGAGTGGTCAGTACTTGTAATGGTGCCTTTTAGCTGACTACGAACAAAAGATCTGCACCTTGCTCTATTCTGCTCCATCCTCAAGGTGTCCGCTACGCTCGAGCCCATTCTTAAAATAACCGTATTAATCCATCTTGTGGAGGGGCTTCCTCTCTTTCTCTGACCCTCCTCCTTTCCCACCATGATGTGTTTTTCCACGGACTAGCCCTTCTGACACCATGCCCAAAGTATGTGAGAGAAAGTCTCACCATCCTTGCCTCCCAGCAGCATAGCAAATCTGTGGAATATTCAGTACTCTCATCCTTATTCATTGCCCAACTTTCACATAGAGTCTGTAGTAGGATTTCTTTTTTTTTTCTCCTCAAAACCAACACAAAGGACCCCTGGTGATGTAGTGATTGTGCACTTGGTAGCTAACTGATAGCACCAGGTCAGACCTATCAGACCACTCCGCGGAGAAGGAGGAGTTAGTTGTTCTGCTTCTTTAAGAGTAGAGCTTGAAAAACCTATGAGTACAGTTTCTCCCTTGTCATGTAGAGGCATTATGAGTCAGAACAGACGGATAAATAAGCGCCAGTTTAAAGCTATGTGACATCATTAAAGGATTCTAGCATATTTTATGCTGTAATATATTCATCTTCATTTTCTCCAATTTTTGGTCTCTTGTCTTTCAGTGAAAGTTTTACACCAAGAATTATCTTAGACTTTTAATATTATTGATACATATCATCGTTTTGAATTGTGTTGTGCTTTGTGACTTCTGTTCTCATTGATTTTTTTAGTAAGTCAAGTGGTGAGTTTTATTTGCTTTTAAAAAGGCACAAACAGTTTGTGTTCAGAAGCTCCCTAAAAATTAAATTCTTAGACATTTAGGACTGCGTAGTCAAATAAAGTACAGCTGAACATTTTTCTGGTATTTTCTGCTTTCAGAAAATATCCATTTGATATCAACAAT